TCTTTTGAGCCGGGGCTTTTTTCTGTTTCTTTTTTTTTTTTTTTTTTTTTTTTTTTAGCGCCAAACTGCGTACCGCGAAATTCGGATCTCCCGCGGAAAATGCTTCACTTCGGTTGGCTGCTGCAACGCGTAAGAGCTCCACCCCCCGGAAAAGACTTGTCTTAGAGGCGGTGATTGCTACACGAGCTTTGTGACTTAAAGGGGCCGCCACATCTGTTGTCGCCTGGCGCCCGCCGGGGCTAGCAACTCTGGAAACTGAAACAGAGGGTGGTTCCGACACCCACAGTGCAGAGGCGCCCAGAGCAGCGCAGAGGCAGAGCGCGCTGGGAAATGCGCCCAGATTCCCTGTGGAGGAAAAAATTGGGGAACAGAACCCTGACATGAGCCTAGACCCAGCAGTGCGTTCCCCAGACCACAGGGCTTTTTGTTAGTTTGCAATGTTGCTTAGCTGGATAAATGCTTTTATATACTTTATCCCGCTAAAATGAGAGCCAGGAACCTGCTCCTTTTCTTGGCAGGGGCCAAGAATCTCAACATTTATCCCCCTGCATAGGGAAAATGAATATCTATTTAGCACCTGCAGTATGCCAAACACTACGCTAGATCTTTACAGGTGTTGTTTAATTGATTCCAGCGTGCTAGGGAGAGTGATCTCCACAGTATAGATGGAGAGGCTGGAAGGCTGAGGAACTTGCCCAAGGTCACACAGAGAGATATGCTGATTTGAGAACTGGCAGTGAATCTGGGACAGTCCAGCTCCAGAGCTCCGGTTCGCCCCAGTAAAGGCTTCCTCTCCCACTTCCCAAAGCGGTGCCCTACCGCTTGCGGCACTTGGGGGTGGGAGTCCAGAGTGCAGATCTGTCCTGTTCACACCTGCATTCCCCGGGACCCAACATCAGCACGTAGTGAATGTCTCCAGCTTTCTTCTGAACAATCCTTTCACCAGAGCCGCCCTCCGTCATTCCAATACCTGCATTGCTGATGACCTCTTGCCATCCTCATCTCTCCAGCTTAGAGAGGCGTGGAGAAGTGACCTTGGGTAGAAAGTGGCAGAGCTGCTAGAAGCTGCTGCTGGAGCCCAGGGCTGTGGATGCCTGCTCAGAACTGTGCGACGTTTATGCAAGTCAGCCTTGGCGTTCAAAACCTCCGAGTCAGTCCCCAGCTTAGTACCTCAGATCATGGAGGACAAGATAGTGATAGATAGTTGAGGTTTTGTCAGCGCTGGCAGCTCTGCCACTTTACGAGCTGTGTGACCCTAGGCGAGTTTCGTAAGCTCTCTGAGCCTTGGTTTTCTCATTCCTAATATAGTACTTACTGGGTTGGCTCATGGGGAGATCCCATGAGATTACGCGTGTAAGCCTCTCAACAGAACCTGGCTCCTCAGAGCCTGAAGAAATGGCAGCTGCTTCGTATTTCTGACCTTATCTCCAGTGCACAGACCCCTGCAGTCTGCCTATCTCACTAGGCCTTCAAGGGCCAGCTGAAACCTAACCTCCAGGTAGCCCTCCCTGCCTGTCTCCCTTAAGTCAACCAGCATTGTGCCTCTCGTCCTCTTCCGCCCTCAACAAACACGGCTTTGTTTTCATGCCTGTTTATCAGTTAGGTTCTCAGTTCCCTGAAGGGCTGAGATTGGATCTCTATTTGAATATCCCTTAGCATCTAGGGCCTGGCTTGGCATGCAGAAGCTGGAAAATAGGTATTGATTATGATTCGCTCATCTGCTCAGCAAAAGGTAGTGGAAGTTTGTGAGATCTGGGGCCAGTAGGTGGCATGGTGGTTAAAGTGCTGGACTCCCACATGGTTGACTGTGGTTTGAGTCCCAGACCTAGCAGCTTGCTTTCTCACTTTCCCTCTCTCTCTGGTCAAATTAAAGTAACAATAGTAATAGTAACTAATAAAATTAAACAAGTGACAATTATTATTATTTTGTAAATAACGTCATGAGATCTGAAGTCAGAAAGTCAGGAGGCCCCCATTCAAGTCTTTCTCTCTGCTTCTTGGTTGGGTGACCCTGAGCAGATGCTGTTCTTCCTCTTAACCTCAGTTTCTTCAACCATCAAATAAAGACCTATTTCACAGGACTTTAGAAACACTATTCATAGTAGTGCAGTGATTGGAGCCAGCAGGTGGCATGGAGGTTAAGGTAACTGGATCCCACATGGTCGACTTCATGGTTTGAGTCCCAGACCCAGCAGCTTGAAAATCACACCAAGTACATGTACGTGCATGCCCCAAATTCCAAGGGAATGGGGAAGAAGAGATTGCAGCATGGACAGCTCCACACTGAGATGATTTCTCACTTTCTCTCTCTCTCTCCTCTCTCTCTCTCCCCTCTCTCTCTCTCTCTCTCTCTTCGTCTCTCTCCAGCGAGCTCATGTGCCCTATAGCAAACTATAAATAGATAGGTAGGTAAGACAGATACAGACAGATAAAGTAACGTGTCGATCAAGAGAAGCCGGGGTTGGCCCCAGACCATGAGGGTTAAGAGTTGTACATACGCAGCCGGATCCCACAGGGCTGACCATGATTCAAATCTCAGCCCTGGTAGCTCTAAAAACCTCATTGGGGGTTCCCTCTCTCTCTCCTGTATGTACACTCCCTGTTACAAAAAAAAAAAAAAAGAGTAAATAAAATACCGGTGGCAACAAAGATTGCTAACGCAGACTGAGAACCTGCCGTGTGCCGGGCTCCGCGTGCTTGGCCTTGAGCCTCTCCTCTGATCCTCACAACACCCCTCAGACAGGCTTATTATGACCCCATTTTACAGATGAAGGGACCTGGAAGGAATAGTCGCAGAGCAGGTTTAGGTGAGGAACAGGGCCCCAGGGCCAGGGAGGAAAATGGGGGTGGCAGGGTGGGGCTGGGAGGGAAGAAGGGAGCCAGCAGGGGGCTGAGAGCCAGCTCTGTGGTTGAGTTTCGGTAGCTGGGGCTGGCTTTACAGTTTCACTGCCTGGGAACTGACTAATTCCTGCAAGAGGCGTGGGTCTGGATCGGCAGTCTGTCTCCCTGAGCTTGGATTCTTGCCCCATCCGTTCCTGGGACTACTGTGATATTGGTCTGGTCACCGGTCCCCTCTGAGCCCCAATTTCCCCTTCTTTGAAACGGGGATGAATAAAGTGACCTCTCAGGACCAGCAGTTAGCATAATGGCTATGTCACTGGATTCCCATGTAGTCAACCATGGTTCGAGTCCCGGACCCGGTAGTTTAAAACTCATGCTGGGCACGGGACCAGCAGTTGGCATAATGGCTCTGTTGCTGGACTCTCATGTAGTCGACCGCGGTTCGAGTCCCGGACTTAAACTTACGCTGGATGTGTGTGCGTGCGTGCCCAAGATCCCGAGAAGAGAATGGAGGAGAAAGGATTGTGGTGTGACCATCTCCTCTGGGGGTGATTTCTCGCTTTCTGTCTCGCTGTCTCTCTGTCTCTCTCTGTCTTTCTGGCGAGCGCATGCACCCTATAGCAAAAACCTCTCAAGAAAAAAAAAAAAAGAAACAAACAAAATGGAGAGATCTCTTTGTTTTATTTATTTATTTTTTTTTTTGGAGAGACAGAGAGACAGAAAGCTAGAAATCACCCTCCAGGGGGGATGGCCACGCTGCAATCCCTTCTCCTCTATTCTCCTCTCAGGATCTTGGGTATGCGCATGCACACGTGCCCGGTGTGAGTTTAAGCCACTGGGTCGAGACTCCAACTGTGGTCGACTACGTGGGAGTCCAACGACATAGCCATTATGCTAATGCTGGTCCCAGACCTCTCCATTTTCAATAGGTGTTAGATAGAACATTTTTGAGACGGGGGCCCAGGACTGAATATATTTTAAGGTTTGTGCAAGATGGACCGGAAGAGCCCTCATGGAATCGAGGTGTGATGCTGCGGTTTTCCATCTATGCCCTACACGTTCCATCTCCGGCCTTCCCTACTGCTCCACATCCCCCAGGCCCTTCCTCCCTTCCTCCTCTGCGTCCCGTGTGCCCTAATCCATTACGTCTTTTTTTTTCCTTTTAACTTTGCCGGAAGGTGTGTGTGCTCGGGAGAGAGACAGCAGAGAGAGAGAGAAAGAGAAAGTGAGAGACATCCCTCTCCCGTAGGGCGTGGTCACATTGCGACCTCTCTTCCATTTCACCTCTTCTTGGGATCTTGAGCACACACCCTCATCCACACATTTTTCAAA